GCAATTAATCGTAAGTACTTGAGAAAAATAAGAAACGCATTTAGAAGGGTATCAGAAGAAGTTTAGTTTCTAATGGTTTATTTTCAATTGACACTGAATTCCAAATTACAGTTGACTCTGAACACTGTTACAAAAAATCTTTTATGAGCAGAGTTTGAAGAATCTCATTTTCTTGAATTTGTGTGGTTTTTTATTTCCACTTTAAGAACAACGTAAATTCTCTGGTCATTTCGAATATATTTATTTCGAGTTGAATCCTGTGAGTGCAAAACACAGCAATTCAGAATACTGATATACGTCTCTTCAACTCCATGTGAAACAGTCAATATTTGTCTAAAATTGTTTCCATCAAATACAGTCGATATAATTTGGTTCCTGTAAATGCAATTTTTTCCTAATAAATCATTTATTTTAACCAAAATTAAGCACTGGCACGTGAAGAATAGCTATTCATCTTTTGCAAAATTCACTTTCTTCTAACATCCATGTTGTACAACAGTTTGGAATTTGAGCCAAAGAACACTCAGCCTCCTCATGGATTCAGAGAAATACAGAATAACAAGAACATTTCATCTACAGAAAGACCAGTAAAATAACACAAACAGTTCATTCGCTTTTAATGTTTTAAAGAGTGCAAAAAAAAATATCAGTGACCACACAAAATTAAAATGTTATTTCATAAATCAAATAGAACAAAGTAAACTGTAGCACAGTTGCCCACGTTTCCTGCATGGACAGGACAGTCACTCCAGAACACTTTCAAACAACTTCTTGTTAAACTTTACACTGACAATATACATCGACATGCCAAACTGCAAAGTTCTAGCCCAATAGTGGCTGGGATACTGTTTTGAGGCTGTAAAAGTGGTAACATTGCATCAGCCTGCTCATCACCTAGTGTGTTCACTCATCACAGATCCTCTCTCACCGCCAGCGTCCTTGGAAGTCAACATCAACAGCTTTCTGGAAAGGAAAAGGCAAAATTTGTTACTGCACTCAAGAGATATTTGTATCAAATTTCAAGTTTCTTTGAAAAAAATGACAATTTCGGTGATTCTGAATCCTTATGTCAGCACCCTCTCAGAAACATACAAATTGTCCAGGAGTTTCTAAGCATCTGTTATTTTGTTCATTCAAGCAGATTTTTATGTATTAACACTGGAACAGAGAGAGAGTAGGTATTGACAAGTTCTTCAAGAATCATTCTTTCAAGGAGCAAGCACAAATATATATCCAGGTGTTTAAGTTGGTGGGGCAATATGGAAATTTTCTGGTAAATGATTGTCCAAATTTTCACCTGTAAATTCTAACTCTAGGAAAGGTAATATTACTACTTGGAGGAGGAACTAACGGTGCTCTACCATGACAATCAGATTATGTCAATGTAAACTTTCGGAAATAAGTTACCTGGCTCAGTATGAATGACATGCATGTTTTCTGGCCTCTGCCCATTCAGCCTCTAAAGAAACAAAGATACGAGCAAAGTTAGCACCATATCAAGTGATGTTTCTAGCTGGTTTTCAAAATTATCGGTCAGTTTTATGAGCCATAATCAGGCAGGATTAACTCTTCAGAATATCTGCTTTTCAACTTCTGTGAAGATCTTACAAATAAATGTGCTGCGCTGTGTTGGATACCCCTTTGGGTGATGACCAAACACTGCTTACCTTGTATAGGATTATCAGGTTTGCCATGGTAGCAGTCGTGTCCCCATTCCAGTAACATCTGCTGTCAAGATGGAAGGTGTTAAAACCAGGACTGACCTGAATGAATACAAAAAAGGGTCACATAATTTGGTAGCGTTAATTAAAATCCTGATAAGATATTGCACTTTTTGTCGACTTCTGAAATGCAGAAGTCGTGTTGAAGCAGTTTTTTCTTTACTGTGCCCTTTACATTTTAGAACACTATAAAAAATGATCTTGCAATTTTCAGTTCCACCTTATTGAAAATCACTCCAGTGCATTGAAAGCACATTTCTATTCTGAATCTGAATGTTATCACACATTTTGAGGTTTTGAGCATTCACAATGAGGTTTAGACTTTCTCAGAGCAAGCTGTCAAGTTTGTATAAATTCATACATTACAGACACAAAGACTCGGTTTCTTAAATAATTACTTCCTGAATACAAAGAACATGACATGACACTTGTGACATAAAAGTTCACTTACCATGTACCAGGTCATATATCCTGATGTGGTTATCGAGAACTGGGCCACCACATCATGAACGTCCCAGGATACCAGCCACGCACGATCTCAGCATCGGGTCCATCGTTGAGGTAGACGGCAGTAATACGGAACATCACACTGCCACTCTCTGGTCTGGCCTCCTGAAGGAGAGTACCTCGCATCCAATTCCCTCCTGACATTCCACCCCTCCGATGCAAGGATGTCCCACCATTTTATTAGCACTGCCTTAGCTATGCCACTTCCTAACCTGTTCTTCATATAAACTGGTAAAGGAAACAAAAAGGAAAACAGAAGTAATTAAAATGAAACACGTTTTTACTTCATCAAATTTTCTTTTAATAGCTACATTCTGATAATCAGTGACAATCTTAGGGTCTTTTCTAGTG